GCGTACAGTTTGGTGACTGTGCCTGTTTTAGGTCATCTGACCTCCCATCAGGTCCTTACCCAACATGGGAAGCTTGGGCAGATGACGAAGCCTAACTCCTGTCTTAGGTTGGTACCTGACCAGATCAGAAGTTGTCCATCTGTGACTACCAGCCCCAGCTACTGTATAGGTGAAAGCTAGAGTTGAGGGTCTTGCCCTCCTTCTAGGGTGTCAAAGGCTTGTCCTATGGCCATAACCTGAGCCTGTGCTTGCTGTTTTTGCCACTTAAACTGAAGGCACAGCAAAAGAAGGCCTATGAATAAGAGTTATCATAGGGGTAACCCCTGCCCAGTTCCTGAACAAATGTAACACCTGGGCTATAATATCTATGACAGAATTCCAGGAAATGTGATCAACATGGATGGAATTAATGGCAAAGATGTGATGTCAAAGTGTGCTGGTCAAATTTTCAAAGTCTGCATTCCAGGAACCATTCAATCTGTAAGAGAGCTCATGAGAGAGATTAGCAAGTGTAGAGAAACATTCCCACTTAACCAAGGTGACACACACTGCATTGAATCTGAGTAATAAATCAACTCAGCATTAATATTCCTGAAAAAGCTTCAGGAGGACTCTAGTCATGGGTCCCAATGGCAGTGGAAGTGGGATTACTCTTATTTATTCCCCAGTGTATCTCCATTTTTCTGGGTGGTGGGTTCCATAGGAGTAGAAATAGTGAGAGAATAGTGTTTAATCAGCCTTTTGGGAGCCCATCTGGGGCTGTCTTTGTCCTGTGGGAAAACACAAACACTTCCTCTTCTCCAAATAAGGACAGGGTCTGGCCCTTGCCATTGTCCAGCCAAAACATTTTTCCAAAGACACTGGGTTTTTTTCTCTGAACGTGGGTTCTGATGACAATCTGCTGCAGAATTTCCCTCAGCAGCAGTTACCCTCAATATTTAAAAAGTTAAGGGTAAAAAGGCTAAATGTAATTGTTCCCTAGGTGAGGAGAACTCTCCCCCTTTTTAATTTGAAAAGCATGTTTTTAAGGGTGCGTTTGGCACGTTCAATAATGGCTTGGCCTTGAGGGTTATAAGGAATTCCAGTAACACGGGCAATGGAAAACTGGGCACAAAAGGATTTTAAAGAGGAAGAAGTATATGCAGGACCATTGTCAGTTTCTAGTAGACGAAATTGGAGAGTATTCTAAGGAACTTAGTCCTTTTCTTTTGACTGGGCACTCACGCTGGAAGTGTCCTGGCTGTCTACAGTGGTAGCAAACCGGATTAGAACTGTTTGATTTAGTAAGATCACAGACAACCTTAGCTATGGCTGCTCCCGTAATTGTAGGTCCTGAAATATCACTACAAAGTCTGATCCACTTATCTAATGGTTCTTTTCTGTATGAACAGATGACATCTTTATAGACAGAGTTAGCATTTTCGTAGGCTAATTGCCATATGAAAGGCATAACCAGCTGAGTGTCAGGGAATACTCGGGTAGCCGCCTCCATCAGGTAGTTTGACAAAATCGGCATAAGGTTCTTTTCCCTTTTGAATGATTTTGGTTAGGTCTGCCTGACACCCTCCCTTTTGAGGGAGAAGGCACCATGCTCTCATAGCAGCAACGTTGATCTGAGCATAAACTCCTAGGTCATAATTTATTTGCTGAGTATCTTGGCTTTATTGACCTTCTCCCATCAGCATGTCAACATTATGGTCGGGGTGGCCTACCTCAGCATTACAGCGATCCGTCTCTAAACAGTTGTCTCGAAAGAGAGACAGCCACCAGATGTAATCACCTCCTTGCAAAACTGCCTTAATTGAGGACTTCCAATCATCTGGGGTCACACAAGTGCGGGAGAAGGTGTCTAACATGCTAATGGTGTAAGGCGTTTAGGTACCATAGCTATTAATGGCCTCCTTGAGCGCTTTTATGTTTGCGAAGGCAAGCGGCTGATGCACCCGGATCTCTTTGCCCGCCCTGCTCTCGAGGTTCGCGCTCATAAACCGGAAAGGCATGAATCCAGCGATAGGGAGGGTGCTGCAGGACCTCAAGTGAACATTTTTCTGACCCCACTGTTTTTGTTGATTGCTGCTCTATTAAGACCTTTTGTAATAGTTTTTCTAGGTTGGTAATCTTTTGTTCTAAGACTTGAGTGATTGACGCCGGCAATGGCGGGTTGTCTGAAGGTGGTGGATCTGGACTGTTATTTTCCACTCTTAATGCAGAGAGGCTAGGATAGAGACGCCTCTTCGGTCACACACCTAACTCCTTGTCCTCTTCAGGAGGTATTGTTTGTTTGGAATCAGAGTCCTCACCAGATGAGGACGATGTCTTAGAGGAGTTAGAGTCAATAACACTTTCTTGCTGGGACTCCCTTTGTTTTATTTTGTCTAAAACTTCCTGAGAAGAGAGCTGCAAGAGGATAACAGCCACTCTTCTTTCAGCTGCCATACGGGTCCGAATCCATTCGGGAGGGGACCATTTTTCCGTTCCCATCTACAAAGGTCCTTTTTGTGGTGTTCCCATTTTGGGATATTAATCTTTCCTTCTTCTAAAAACCAAGGACAAACTTGTTGCATAAAAGACACATAATTGCTAGCAGTACTTTGTTTTATACCGGTACCATTATATTATAAATAATTTCTGATTCTAAGCTTGCCTCTGGATTTCTGGGGTCCCTCAGATTATCCCTTGTGCCCAGGACAGGGAGAGGGTCTGGGGATGAAATCAACTATGCCCCTCCAGAGTTCCAGGGGTCCCTCAGATTGTCCCTTGTGCCCAGGACAGGGAGAGGGTCTGGGGGTTAATTCACTTACACCCCTGCAAAATTTTTCTTAGAAATGTCCGAGTCAATTATCAACTCACCTTGCTTGCCTCACACCCCAAATGCTTCAGCCAAAGTCTTCACCGCGAGGTTCCTCAGTAGCTCCACCATATCAGGTTCCCCATACGGGCCACCAATTTGTCTCAACCTGCAGGACACGAGGCTCAAACCCTGAGGGTGGACTGGGAATGTGGGGCTGCTAGCCTCCAGGCTGCTGGCCCAGGAAACACACGGACACGCAGACTTGGTAAGAAAGGGTGCCTCTGCCTTTACTTTTACTCCTCATATATATACCTTCTTCTCTAGGGGAGGAGCAGAAGGGGAGGAGTTTTCTGGAAGTAATTATCTTCATTGAAACCAGGAAGGAACTAATTAGCTATTGAAACAAGAGGAACTAATTATCTACATTGAAACAGGGGAGGAACTAATCATCTGAACAGGAATAAGGGTGGAGGTTCTATTCCACTTGCTCTACACAGGATGTTCAGGCCTAATAGCCTGCTTGCTGTGGCCCTGCTTGCCCAAGGCAGGCTTTGCAATGCAACAGGCTGTCAGGTAGGCCAAGCCTAAGGCCCACTGTGGCTCCTAACATGTATTGAATGAGTAAAAAGGGATGTAGTGGAAGTGTGAGGTGGGTGATGGGAGGCCCTTCAGCAGAAGGAGGCAGGTAGAGCTGAAGAGGGCCTCTGGCCTTTGTGGGAAGGAAGGTCTTCCCAGGACCCAAGCAGGAGGTCTTCAAAAAGGAAGTGGGAAAGTCACTTGGGTGGCTGGATTTCAGGAATGAACAGTGGAGGAGAATGTGTAGCCCAAGGAGGGAGAGATGGGTGGAGGCCACAAGATCAGGAAGATACTTGTGGAGCAGCCATGTTTGGGGAGGCTGCCTCCATCTTCCATTGGACAGAAACAGTCGAGGCTTCCCCACCAGCTGAGTCTGGAGATTGCATGGGCACCTGCCATGGCTCTGTACCTTTGATCAGGGCTACTGTGCAGCAGATGCTGAGGGCAGAAGCAAGCCCTCTGGCTACTGTCACCTTACACATCGGCGAGGGTTCTCCATTCCTGCCACCACAGCTCCTCCAAACACCCCACCCTCCCCACATGTAATCAAGTGGGGGAGGAGGAGTGATTCCACAGAATCTTGCCACTAGAAAACTGTCCAGTCTGCAGATGCCATTCTCAGAGACTGCCCTGCAAGATGCAGCTGGGCACAGGGGACTTTCACAAAAGGCCCTTGCCTCGGCTCAGTGGGTCTGGGACAGGAAACATGGAGAGGTTACTGACCAGCCAAGCTAGAATCCAAGTAGGAGCCAGAGCCTGCGGGGACACTACCCCTCGCCGTTCCCCTCCCCCCTCGTCGCCCCTTCTCCCGCTGTCCTGGAGAGCGGAAAATGAGATGGGTTGGAGTTCAGAGAAAGGAGCCGAAAACCATTAAGGAGCCCCATTGCAGGGGTTTCTTGGGGTCCTGAGAAAACGGGCTGGACCCACAGTCCTCTGGGTGACATCCAGGCCTGGCCTTGGTACAAGGCCATTGCGCGCAGTTCATCTCTGCCTCGCCATTCACAGCCTCTGAGTCTGACACCCGGAGTGCTCTGCGCTTCTCTGCTTTCGTGTCTGAGTGTCTTTGCACTGCCTCAAGTTTAACTGTGGATGTCTTCACCCAAATCTCTCCCAAGCAAACTTCTTCCCCTACTCTGCTCTGCTCCTGATCCCCGCCCCCCACCACCAAGTCGGGGGACAGAGGAGGATCCAAACTCTGCCCTGAGGGAAATGAGCGCCCCAGGGCAGAGTAGCCTGTGGTCACAGAAGTGGGACCTCGGAGAGGCTTGCAAAGGATGTGCCTAGAGCCAAGCGCAGCGGGTCTGCTGCGCCCCTGCTGTCCACCTTGCTTAGGGAGGAGCTGGGTCCGGGGCGCGCGGGAGTCGGGGGGGGGGGCCAGGAGCGGGTTGGGGGAGGAGGCCACCCGGGAAACACCCCCTCAGCCACGCCCTGCTCTGTTCCCATTGGCCTCGGCCTTCCCCGCCCTCCACAGCCGGCCCGGGCGCCCCGGGCGCTTCGGCTACTACAGATAAATAGCCCAAGGCTCCTGGCGCGAAGTTAGTGCTGGGGAAGCCCCGGGGTACAGCTGCCACTTCGCTCCCCACCCAGGTCCAGCTGGACAGGACAGGCGGGGTTGCGCTGAGTCGGCTGTGCCTCAGACCTCCAGCACTTTGCCATCGCACGCCTGGGATTCTCCAGCAGCACCAAGTTCCGGGCAAACCCTCGCCACCCTAGTGGGTGAGGGCACCGCGCCGCCTCCCACTGGGACATGGAGCTCCTGTCGCCTCCACTCCGAGACGTGGACTTGACGGGCCCCGACGGCTCCCTCTGCTCCTTTGCCACAGCGGATGACTTCTATGATGACCCGTGTTTCGACTCCTCGGATCTGCGCTTCTTCGAGGACCTGGATCCGCGCCTGGTGCACGTGGGCGCACTCCTGAAGCCAGAGGAGCACTCGCATTTCCCGGCCGCAGTGCACCCGGTCTCGAGCACGCGCGAGGACGAGCATGTGCGCGCTCCCAGCGGCCACCACCAAGCCGGCCGCTGTCTGCTGTGGGCCTGCAAGGCGTGCAAGCGCAAGACCACCAACGCCGACCGCCGCAAAGCCGCCACCATGCGTGAGCGGCGCCGCTTGAGCAAAGTGAACGAGGCCTTTGAGACGCTCAAGCGCTGCACGTCCAGCAATCCCAATCAGCGGCTGCCCAAGGTGGAGATCCTGCGCAACGCCATCCGCTACATCGAGGGCCTGCAGGCTCTGCTGCGCGACCAAGACGCCGCGGCCCCTGGAGCCACCGCCTTCTACGCGCCCGGCCCGCTGCCCCCGGGTCGCGGTGGCGAGCACTACAGTGGCGACTCGGACGCATCCAGCCCGCGCTCCAACTGCTCCGACGGCATGGTAAGGCCAGGACCTCAGGCGGGAGGGGAGAGGAGGGAAGGCAGCAAGAGAGCAGGGAGCTGGTCCCCGAGAATGGGGAGCTGGCCCGCTGCGACAGCCGTGAGTGGACTCCCGTGGCCGGACAAGTGTTACCGGGGTAAACCTAGTGCTTTGGGGGCAGGCAGGACAGGTACAATCGGCCCGACTGAGGTGTTGTGCTTTCCTCCACTGAGCCCTGTTTCCACTCAGTATTTTTGCCTCCACCCTGGCTGTGACTATGCGCACGGCTCCAGTCCGCCCCTAGGCGCCCCTGGAACAGCTCTGGCACCTAGAACTACTGGCTGAGTCGGGCGGGGGTGGGGCGAAGGACAGGAAGGGAAGAGAGAGAGTTGGGGAGGGGTGTTGCTTCGGGGACTGGCACTCAGGTCCAGCGGGCCTGACCCGGTGTCCCGGGCCCATTTGCAGATGGACTACAGCGGCCCCCAGAGCGGTGCACGGCGGCGGAACTGCTACGAAGGTGCCTACTACAGCGAAGCGCCCAGTGGTGCGTACTCCGCGCTTCCTTCCGCATCCTTCCCGCTCCTTCTAGAATTTTCTCTTCCCACGTAGCCTTGCGGTGGCACCCGCTCCCCCTCCTAACCCCATGGCGTCCCACCCTCTTGCGGGACCCAGTCTCAGATTCTGCAAGTACTCGGTTTCACGTCTGCTTCCTAGCATGGGGCTCTGGGGGGTGGAAAACTCTGCCTTGGCGGCTCAAACCCCCCTAACCCACCCATGCACCTCCCCTCTCCGTGCAGAAACCAGGCCCGGAAAGAGCGCCGCCGTGTCCAGCCTTGACTGCCTGTCCAGCATCGTGGAGCGCATTTCCACCGAGAGTCCCACCGCGCCTGCGCTCCTACTGACCGACGCGCCGCCAGAGTCGCCTCCTTGCCAGCCAGCGGCAGCCGCCCCAACCGAGGCCGAGGGTGGAGCCCCCAGCCCGGCCCTGGACGCAGCCCCGCAGGGCTCTGCAGGCGCAGACCCCAACCCGATCTATCAGGTGCTCTGAAAGGGGCGGGCGGCCGCATGAGAGGGTGCCGCTCCCCCCAGCCGTTCCCAAAAGATTGAGCTTCATTATCCCAGTCCAGCCGCGCTTCAAAAGCGACCCTCCCTCGCCCTCCATCCCACACCGGGTGGGCGAGGTGGGAGAACACAGGGGCGTTGCGGCTCCCCCACCCGCCCCCAGGGCAAACCCACGGTCCGTGTTTTCCCCGCCGCACCTGCCAAGGGCCGCTGGGTGATAGCTGAGAGCCGGAACCAATCCTTGAGCAACCTGGTGCGTCTTCTTCCTCTCCGACTCGCCCTTGGAGGGGGTTGGACTAGAGGTGAGATGGAGATCCCGGCGGATCTAAGCTGGCCCCGCCCTCGCGACGCCCTCTCCAACTCCATCAATCACACCTGTGGGGCGCGCGCCAGTCCCGAAGGTAACAGGTGTAACAGCCACTCACTCCACTCCCCCCTCCACTTCGCCCCCTCCCCCGGTTCAGGACCACTTTTTATAATATTTTGTAATCTATTCCTGTAAATAAGAGTTGCTTTGCCCCAGAGCAAGAGCCCCGAGGGCTGTATTTATCTCTGAGGTGTGCTACCGTCGGGCAGGCGAGCGAGCCGCGGGCGCTCGCTCAGACGTTGCAAATAAAGACGCTAATTTATGCCGCGGTGACTCTGGCTTTCCTTGGGCTTGGCGGGGTTTGGCGGGATCGGGGGCGAGCGGCGCAATCCGGAGAGAACCCCACGAATGCGGCCAGCTGTCTTGCAGCGACCCCTGCAGGCGACAAGGAAGCCCTTGGCGGCGGCAAGGGAGCAGAGATGGCTGCGGTACGCAGCAGAGAGTTTCTGAGCTGGAGTCGGGAGTTCTGGAAACACGCACATCATATCGCCAGCGTTAGGCTAAAGAATCCATGCCGCTCCCCACCCAAAAGCCCAGAGGTGCAGATGAGTGGATCTTCCCCTCAGATCCTGAAGGCCCAGGCTTGTTCTATACAAACGCCCCCGGGTGATTTCAAAGTTCGTGCAAGGTTGAGAATGATGCCCTAGCACCACATGGGATGACCCCATGTGTGTCCCTAACAGTCACGGAGGGCAGTGTCCTCAGGTGCCACCTGGAGTCTGAATACAGTGTTGGATGGAGCGCTCGGGGAGACACTAAATGGAGGTAGGGGAGCATTGTATGCCTTAGGGTTCTCCCAGGCACATTAGCCAGGTGGGGCGCAGACACCTCTGCCAAGCCAGGAACCCTGCACTTTCAGCGGCCTGGCAATCGGGTCTCCTAAGAAGACAGGGACCCAGAACCTCCAAGGAGGGGACCGTGAGAATCAGCATCATCACAGGTGCCACAGGTGGTCTCATCAGGCTGTAATTCCCTGAAAAGACGAAGAGCCATTTTTTCACCAGACAGGTGGGGGGACAGGGAGGTGAGAGAGGCTTCTTGGTGGAGGTGCCATTGGAGTGCCATCTTGAGGCACTCACAATGCCCACAGAACCACCTGGTCCCCTCTGGCTCCCAAATCCACTAAGAGAACAACCAGGGCAAAGCTTTTCCCCACCCACCTGTTGTCTTTCTAGCCCCACCCCACATATAGGAGGGGCGAATACTTGAAGAACAGTGTTGTCAGTGGCATTGAAAGAGAAGTCTATATTGGAGTTGCAAGTGTTTTGGAACCACGCGAAGCCTTTTAGTACCATGCATTTTGCATGAGTCACTGGGACTTCAGCATCTGCTGCCCCTCACCCCATGGATCTGCTTTCTGAAAACCCTGTGTGCCCACTCTCCAGTGAGATCAGGGCTAGGAGCGAAGACAAGCCATAGTGCAATGCCAGTAGATACAGTCTCAGTGCCTGACTGGGGCCACGCCTTTCATCCTGAGCACAGCCTCTGCTCTCCCTAGCACAGGGTACCCCCCCTTCCCTACCAGGGACCCAGAGCCCTTCTGTCACCAAAGATCCTCTGCTTGTTGGCTGGCCAGCTCCCTAGATGCCCCTGGGGGTGCTTCACACTCCTTTGGGTGCCCCCTGGGACTCATCATGCATTTATCCATTCATCGGATGCCAGGCCCCAAGCTCTCTGCAAACAGTTAACAAGGTGCAGTTCCTGCCAGTGAGCTGCACCCCTGACATTGGGGAAAAGCAACTGGTCACATCACATGGAGCACAGTACTGGAGTTTGGAGCTTGTGGAAAAGGAAGGTTCCCTACCCAACATGGAGCCGTGTAGTCAAGCAGATAAACTACTAGTAAGAGTCTCCAGGGCATTGGTAGGAGGCAGAGGCTTAAAGGACAGTGCTCTGAGCTAAGGAGATAGCCTATATAAAGACCCGTGAGTGTGAGACAGAAACTGTGCCTTCACGCATGGAAAATGCTCATAAGAAAAAGACCCGAGGAAACAAAACCAAAAGGTGAGGGCAGGCATTGCAACCAAGGTGGAAACTTCTGTGGACTTTACAGGGAGGGCAATTGGGAGCCACAGAGGAATCTAAGCCAGATGTGGGAGGAAAGGGATACAAATAAACCTGTATTATAGGAAGGTCATTTGGGTTGGTAGGATGAATAGAAAGGAACAAAACGAGACAAAAAGACCCTCCAGAAAGTCCCTGGGGTTGCTGAGATGTGACATATCCTGAGCTGGAGTACAACTAGCGACAGAAAAGAGGCACAGGATTGGGGACCATGGTTGAGGCATCAGTAGAAAAGTGAGAGCACAGTGTGTACCTGACACAACTCAAAGCCAGTGGTGGAGACAGCTGGGAGGCACCCTAGTGGGTGAGCATCACTCTTAGGAGAAACAGAGGGTGTCACGAGATTGCAGGAGTGCATAGGAAGGGAATCTGGTGGAGAAAGTAGGAGGGAGTGCTTCTGCATACAAAGCAGTCATATACACGAAGAGGGCCTGGGATCCTCAGAGTGCAGTTAGCAAGCAGTGCCTGTTCTCCCTGGGAGACTGCGTTGCACCTGGGATCCAGGCCAGACACGCACAGAGCAGACTGGGCCACTGCTCCCACTGGCCTCAGGCAGGTGCACTCCTGCAGAGAACAGTCTGTGTGGCTGCTCACAGTGCCTTGAATGCAAAGATGAAAGCAGGAGCCATGATGACCGTGGGCTCTGCTTGGCTGGTGAGTTGGTGACCATGCAAGTGCTCATGCAAGAATCTAAGAGCCAGGAGCCCCACAGGGCACCACCAGCTGCCAATACTCCATGAAAACAACTAAGACTAAGGTTCAGCTCCTCTCCCCCGCCACAACTCCCTCTACAGGCACAAGAGACATTTGTGTTTAGTGGAATATGTCTTAAGTAAATGCAATTTAAAACAGAAGCAATAATGATGAGTGATTATATAAATTAAAATAACTCTGACATTGTGAAGCCAACTCTAACCCAAATTATATTTAGATTTTACCAAGAAGTAGTTTATTAAAAGAGATAACTTTCTGCCATAATTATGTAGACCATAGAACTGTTTGATAATCCAATCAAAGAAGAAAAGTGAATTAAGTGAGCACCTTGCAATACACAAGATGCTGGCATTAACAAAAGATAGCTGAAACTTATCATATGCCACCATAATAAAACCTAAACAATGTCCACACAGTGATTAATGCAAATGGGTGATTTAGTGGTATTTAAAATGTACCACTCCATAAGACAATTGGAAATGCTTTGAATGCTTACATTCCACAGACGAAACACACTTGACTGAAGTCTTCCCAAAGTTCACCAAAACTCTGAGAAAGGTACATGGTGCTTTCCATAGAGTCGTGAAAGAAGTCTCCCCAGATCATAAGTAGTACAAAACCAATCCTTTCACAAGACCAAGACCACTGTCACTTGAAGAGGCAAGGGCAGAATACACAGCCTGCTGCAGGTGGAAAAGGGGCGGCAAGACTGGAAACAGCAATGAAAGGGAGCAAGCAGAGGGATGCAGTGGCATGAGATGAAGGGGAAGGTAAAGATGATGATCAGAACGTGACAAGTGAGCATCTAAACCAGCTGCTCCCAAGTCCCCACTGCTGAGAGGCCACGTGCTGTGTGTTTGTGTACTGTCCCAGGTCATCTGCATGTAGGCAACAAGTTTCATTTCTTCAGACACCACTGAATGGTGGGTTTTCAGGAAGTCCTTTCCCTAGTAACTGGGGAAATGAGTCTCAGAATATGTCCCTGACTGCATGAGTCCATGGAAGCCAGGGTGGTCATGGTCTTGACCAGCTCCAAGAGCTTGGGGATGAGATTTCACCTGTCTAACCTCAGCTCACTCTTTCTGTAACACCATAGTGATTTTTAAAGCCCTGACCCTCAAACCATTTCAGCCAAAGGAAAAAAATGAAGTGGATCTTTCATGGATAAGAAAACAGGAACCATGACAAACTGAGGATTATTTTAGCACAGGCAAATTACTAATAGCCTCCTGGTGAACTTCTCTTGGCGGTGTAATGGATTGAGTCCATATGAGTGTCAGTTGGAAACTTGGCTGCTACAGGTCCGATCCAGCTCGCTGTTACTGTGCCTGAAAAAGCAGAAGAGGCCCAAATGCCCGGGCCCTTGCACACGTGGGGAGCTGGGAAGAAGCTCTAGGCTCCTGGCTTCAGCCTGGTCCAACCTTGGCTTTTGCAGCCATTTGGGGAGTTTATTAGCAGATGGAAGGACATCTTTCTCTGTGTCTCTCCTCCTCTCCCTATAACTCTGCCTTTCAAATAAATAAAAAATAGATTTTCCCAAATGCCTCTCTCTCTCTCTCTCTTCCTCTCTCTCCTTGCTATTTTTCTTTATTGTTGAGTGGTGAGAGCTCTTCGTACATTCTACATACTGGTCCCTTATTAAACACATGATTTAAACCATTTCTCCCCAGTTTTTTCATTTTATTGATAGTTTTATTTTTCTGATATCAAATTGACCTACCTTTTTCCTCTTTTCCTTTGTGTTTTTGGTATCATATCTAAGAACCCATATCTAATCCAAATTCTTCCAAGAATCTTGCAGATTTAGCTCGTGTATTTAAGAATTGGATTGGGGTTGGTGT